ACATCCTAATAAGCAACATTAGGAGAACAGCACCACCCTGGCTGGACAGGGCTTTGGAACAAAGGACCCAGCGAAGAGGATTCCAGGCAGAGTGGGCATCCCGCTACTGCGTCCCCACCCACGCTCTCAACAACACAGGGAAATTCTACCCCCAGCTCTGAATAATAATAGAAGTAACATTTAGGTAAGGTTGGGGATTAAGCTAAACCTCACATAAGAGGCAGGGATGTTGGCATTTGGAAGCAGGAAACAGGCCTGGGAACGTATTTAATACCTACCACAGAGCAAAGCGGATCACGGCCAGCTCCTGACTCAAGAGCATCTTCGCCCCTGCCACACTTCTCCCTCTTGCCAGCTCCAGACACTTCGAGGGTGCCAGGCCAAAGAGTGGGGCTGGAGGTCAGTTTTGGAAGCCACATTTTCAGAAGAACATTGGCAAACCAGAAGCCAGGAGAGAAGCCTTCCAAAACAGAACAGGAGCTATTTTAAATGGAAACCCATTGGTGGAGGCGGAGGAGTCTTATGGGAAGAACAGAGAACATGAATGAGTTGCTATAAATAACCCCCCCCCCAAAATGCATAAGGAAGAGGGAGTCTTTCTACTTGGTGGTGGTAATACCGAGAACAGAAACAAATTCTAATCGTCTAAAACTGAAATGTGCCGCCCCACAGGTAGGAAGTTCCTCATTACTGAAGGTGAAGCAGATGTTGGAGAGAAAACTTGGGCCAGGGAGGCTCTCATGTTCAGAAGGGACTTTATCAATTGATAAAATGCTGATGGGAGGGAAATGCAAAGGGGAGCATTCAGGCCTTTCATATTTTAAAAGGCTTTCCTTTAAAAAAAAAAAAAAAAAAAGTGTAGAACTCCTAAGGGGATGTGAAATTGTTCTTCCTGCCCCTAACTAACCTGCAGAGGGCTTCTTATCAACAGAAAGTTTCCCTAGACATCCTTGGTCAAATTCTTCTGGGCTGCAGAGGTCACTGTTTTTCTGGCAAAAGCTGCAAGTGGTGACTGAGACACAGGATAAGTAAGAAACTTCCACTATGTAAACACACAAATGCTTAGGGTGCCTCTGTGGAGCACAGAATCAGACAGCAGAAATGAGGCAGGCCGCTATTCATCATTTAGGGAGGAAAGCCACCATGTCGGCATCGGGCACGGACAGATGGTAGGCCTCAGAGAGCAGTCAACACTCACCACCTACATGGGGAAAATGTTCAGATCACAAACTGGTGATCACCATGGAGGAGTCAGAGCGGGACCTCCGGCTGCCACCGGGTTCCAGTGAGAACCAAGTGTACATAATCGCTACTTCGTTCAGAGCTTTGTTCACCTGCTGAATGCTTAGGACGTAGAACAGTGCCCAGCACATAACACGTGCTCAAGAAATACTTGCAGAAAGAATGGGTATTGAAAACGAATAAGCAAACCAAGGATCTTCTCCTTTAGTTTTGGAGTCAATTACATAACTTCTTTCCTCCCGCTGATTCACCTCTCTCCTTGGGTTCGGGCTCAAAATATTACACGAAAATTATTTTTGCACTCCCCGAATCTATGGTGGGATAAAGGAGCTGTCTAGAAGCTTAGGGTGAGAAGCTACGGCATGGGAATACGAAACCCTCAATTTGAGCTCCACAAGGGTAGGGATGTTTGTCTGTTTTGTTTGCTACTTTAACCTCAATCGTGTGGCAGAATGCTGGTACATGGTATGCACTCAACAAACATCTAAAAAGCATCAGCAAACACATTCGCTGTATCGTCTTGGCAAGTCCCTTCTCTCTACAGGCCATCTTTTCTCAACTACAAAATGATAATGCCAAAGGGTTCACGGGTCCCCAGCCAGTTCTAATGTGTTCCAAAGTCTGGTGATCCGGGGGAGTTGGCCTACAAATGGCTTCGATCAGAAGCCTGCCTGGGTCCTCCCCAGGAGTTTCCACAAGGAAGCTAGGAGGCAGTGTGGTGCCATAGAAAGAAGACAGGCTTTAGAGCCCACACGTTTAAATCCCAGCTCAGCTCAGGATGCAGGACTTAAGGAATGTCACTGAACCTCCTAGAGCCTCAAGTTCCTCATCTGCAAAATGGGGGGCCACACCTAGCCACCTCTTCAGGTTGCAGCCTGGATTACAGGATAATGCACATAAAAGCCCCTAGTGCGAGGTTACTCCAGAGTGAGGTGACCCATGTCACTTCCAGCTCTACGCTTTACAATTACGTCTACCCTCAACAGGAGGATGCCAGTTTGGGAAAAAGTATAACCAAGACCAGTTCACAAAATAACATTATTTGAAGATTCACGATCTGCAACTTGGCCTGTCCTAACTACAAAGATATAAATGTTTATCTTATGCAGTTCATCTCGAGCTTTTTGCTCCCTTCTCAGAAGACTGAACAGAGGTTTAAAGAAGAGAAGGGAAAATATTTGGAAAACTGACCAACCCTAATTAAGAAGACAAGAGCCCTTCTGAAGCTGCAATTCAACCCACACTGATGGCTAGTGAGGAATCAGCAGAGAAATGCTGCCCCCAACAGAGCTAGCCCTCCAGGCCTCGGAGAGGAGGTAAGGAGCCCACGGGCCCTCCTCCCCACAGCCCGGCTGCCGGCTGCCAGCAAGACTAGCGAGGCTGTAATCAGCGGTATGTATCAACACAGCATCTATATGAGCAGCAGAAGTGACAGCCCAAATCAAGACAAGTGACCTTACTGGACACACCGGACACATTCAAGCCCTCCATACCACTACGATACCGCCGGACAATGTGCATTATCAAAGTCCTCATTTTTAACTCTCCCTGACTGGTGGGTGTTGTCAGCGCCCCCCCCCCAGGTTCACCTCCCCCTTCCTCACTAAAGGAGGGTGCAACCCGAAGTTCTTCCGGAAAGAGACTGGCAGGCATAATCAAAACAGCTCAGGAAAGAGGGGTGTAAGGCCTGGCAAAGCTTTCTTGGGTGGCTTGAGGTAAAATTTAGAATTTACATCTTTTCATTCCCAGTCTGGCATCTTATTTGCTTATCTTCAGCCAGGTATTCGCCTCCTTGGTTAGGACAAGTAGAGGAGACTACAAATCAACACAAACACACAAATATCCTAACAAGGGAAAAATCCATTCCTTTCCTCCCGGGTCATTCATTTCCTCACTCTGGACCAGGAGCTCCCCAAGAGCCTGCTGGGTGGTCACCACCAACACTGCAACCCCCTGGACCATCCCCAACACACATAGGTGGCTCAATGAAGAACAAACTTCCTCGGGGCGCCTGGCTGGCTCAGTCAGCAGAGCGTGCAACGCTTCATCTCAGGGTTGTCAGGTCAAGCTGCATGTTGGGTGTAGAGATGACTTAAAAAACAACAACAACAAAACTTCCTGGTGCCCACTGAGTGGTGCTTGTCCACAGAGCAGACTCTCTACCGACAGTCCTCTCATCCCCAAAAATAGGTCTGGCAAAGAGTGGGGGCCACCAGGGCTTGCTCTGTGGATAAAGTGGCTTAGCTAATGAGTCGGGGAGGGGCACCGGGCTGAGGCCCTCCTCAGGGCCAGTCAGCAGCAGTCTGCTGGATGAGTGAGGACTCCACCAGGATGAAACCTCCACCCCAGCCCAGGCTCTCCCAGGCAGGCCCTACACAGGCCCAGGCTCCTGTGATGCCGAGAAGGAAGCTATCCCACCAGGAAGGAACGCCCAATGGTACATTTCCCACCCCCTTGGCTCCAGGCCTTGAAAGCTTCAGGAAATAGTAGGCCCCCAAATCTAACTTTTTTCATAGACCAGGTAGTTGGTTTTATTTATTTAAGTCCTAGTTTATCTTCTTAAGCTGTCCAAACATTTGCCAGAGTATCTCAGCCACATGCTAGGCTGCCCTGGGGGTTAGTTCTGCTTTTAGTGGTGATTTCCCCCCCCCCTTTCTCTCCCCCCCAAATAACAGCAGAGACTTGCGCTTCTAAGAGCTGTGTGCTTCCCGGGAGTTCTAATCTGACAGGGATGGGGGTGGTGGGCTAGAATGACCTGGTCTCTAAGTGCGTCTGCACAGCACACTGCTGTTTCACGCAGACCGCATGGGGAGTCTGGGAGAGGGGTGGGGCAGAAGCCTCCCAGCCTCCGCCATCAGGATGCGCCACTCTCTGGAGGGCATTCCGGTGAAGGGAGGTACCAGGCCTTAGGAAGCCCACTCTAGCGCAGCGCCCCTGACCGCCCAGAGACTGTTTGCTGAGTCACATCTCAGTTTCCACAGGAAAATGATAAAGACATTTGCTTGTCGCAGCCATGTGAGATTTTCAATCCAGAACTGCAAAGCTCTTAACAGCATACTGCCTCGTTTTGCCAATCTGGGAAATGGGGAGAAGTGTTTCCTTCTCCTCTGCTCAAAAAGGAAGGGCCAAGGGAGGACACACACACACACACACACACACACACACACACACACACACACACACA